TGTCATCTGTATGAAATTGTCTATTAAATGGCCCTAATTACCTACAAAAGAATAAATATGCGACAACCCTTGTCTACCGCTCGAACGATTTAGCTGCTGTGGGCGTATGTTTTGTTGCCTGGCAACCTATCTTTGACTCTTGTGAACGCTCTAACGCCAAAAGTTATCATCTGATCTGTATGAAATTTATATGCATTATTTAGATTAGTGAAACCCCAAAGCCTTTTGAATTTCAGCAATTTACAATAATTATTTCTTTAGTTATGGCCCTTGTTTCACTTTGTTCAACTTCGTTAACCCTTTCAGACTACACTTTTCAGAATAGGAAAGTACCCATGGAATCTAATTAATTTGCAAAATTTGGTTGAATTACTGATCATTTTCATTTCATGGTAATCTATAAAATTCAGTGAACATGGTATGTGAAAATTATGTTTTTTGGGGTAAAAGAATGGTCAATGTACTAAATACTCAAATTTGGACATGATCAGTTCAGTGGTCTTCCAGCAGTTACCATGACAACAACAAGGAAAAAAGTAGAAAAATCTGAAGTCAAACACTACAATTTTAAAAATCTTTATTCTCTGTGTAAACTCAAACTATATTTTAAAATTTATCACAGAATAATTATTCAACAACAGAGTAACAATAACAAATGTAAAATGTGAGAAGTTATGTGTAAAAAATATAACCAATTTCACAAAAACATAAGTTTGGTATTTTGACAAATCTCGTGAAAACCTCAAACACCATTCAAATAGGTATCTGTCAGATATTCATTCATAGATATTAGTAGTGCTCATACTTACTCCTATTGTATGAATATAAAATATAAGTTCAGATATTGAGGGATAACTACTAAATTTTTATGGTTGCCATAGCAACAGATTTTATAAATCACTGTTTTAACAATATTGTTAGTTCAAATATTTACACTTACTTCATAAATTATTATATCATGCAGTGACATGTTACAGTTTATCCCAGAATAATTATTTAACATCAAAGCAACAATATAAGTTATACAAATGTGAAGTTATACTAAACAAAAATATAACCAATTTCACAATAAAATAAGGTTGGTATTTTGAAAACATTCAAATAGGTACTTGTCAGATGACATAAACAGTGCTCATGCTTGTTCTATTGCATGAATTAAGGTCAGATATTAAAGGAGCTAAATCGCTAACATTTGGGACCTAGAAATTGACACAAGTGGGTCGCAACTCAAATAACACTGTAATATGAATGTATATAAACTGATATACATTCACTGATTTCCGTTTTTACTCTAATTTCAAATCAGTTATGTTCCGCGAAATAAGCTCGCAGTCTCAATCGAATGCAAATTTCTAGCGCCTGGTTATTCCAGTCTACATACGCCGTTTGGTTTGGTGCAATATTTCTAGCCTCGTTCCTCGAGTCTCTTGCTAGAACTGGGGCTGAAACGCATTATGGTACATGATTCGTGTACAAATGGCAAAATGTTTATTTTGTCTTAAATATTGGATATCAGAAGCCCATCTTTTTCCGGTAAGATCACAGCATCAATGTTGATTTAAATTGACAAATAATTTGTGTTTTCAATGTTGAAGATTTTGGATGATATTAAGTTAGAGACTTAGCTACTTTAAGGGAAAACTACTAAATATTGATGGTTGCCATGGCAACAGATTTTATAGATTACTATATTCCGAATACTTTTAGTTCAAGTATTTCAAATTTGTACACCCTAAGGACGGCTGAGTTCGAATTTCGTGAAAATCAGCCCAAAACTGACAGACAAAATGGCCGCTCCTCGTTCTCAAATAGCGTAAAAATATGGTATATCAAGGTTGTGGACCCTATAGAGGTCACAATTTTTTTCCGATTTTGTTGAAACTTGAAATGTAAGTTTATAACCCAAAGATCTTGGTTCCTTTCGATATTCGCGCATATCGGACCGTAACTTCCTGAATTATGGCCCCTGATTGTACGAAAAATCATGTTTTTAGCTTGTGGACCCTATAGAGGTCACAATTTTAATCCTATTTTGATGAAACTTGAAATGTAAGTTTATAACCCAAAGATCTTTGTTCCTGTCGATATTCGCGCTTATAGGACCGTAACTTCCTGAATTATGGCCCCTGATTGTACGAAAAAATCGGGTTTTTAGCTTGTGGACCCTACAGAGGTCATAATTTTTATCCAATTTAAAAAAACGTATTATTATATCACTGTTAAACCCTAAGGACGACTGAGTTCCAATTTTGTGAAAATTGGCCCAAAACTGACAGACAAAAATGGCCGCCATTCGTTCTCAAATAGGGTAAAAATATGGTATATCAAGGTTGTGGACCCTTGTCACAATTTTTATCCGATTTTGTTGAAACTTGAAATATAAGTTTATAACCCAAAGATCTCGGTTCCTTTCAATATTTGCCCATATCAGACCGTAACTTCCTGAATTATGGCTCCTGATTGTTCGAAAAATCGCGTTTTTAGCTTGTGGACCCTATAGAGGTCATAATTTTTATCCGATTTAAAAAAACATATTATTATATCACCGTTACACCCTAAGGACGGCTGAGTTCGAATTTCGTGAAAATTGACATAAAAATGGTCGCCGTTCGTTCTCAAATAGCGTAAGAATATGGTATATCAAGGTTGTGGACCCTATAGAGGTCACAATTTTTATCCGATTTTGTTGAAACTTGAAATGTAAGTTTATAACCCAAAGATCTCGGTTCATTTCGATATTCCCGCATATCGGACCATAACTTCCTGAATATGGCTCCTGATTGTACGAAAAAACGCGTTTTTAGCTTGTTCTCTATCCATCTCTCCAAATGTTGTCGTATCCTGCCTGGCAGCCGCTGGTTCTTGTTATTTAGACCATGTTTTAAAATAAAACTGTTCTGGGTATAAAAGTTTGACGAAAGCCTTCTGCCTCTACACATGCGGCCAAATTTATTTTTTTTTATTTTTCAAAACGATGGCGTGATCGTTTGATCAGGGCTCTATAAAAGTTGAGTGTGCCTGCGCACACACTTGAAAATGTGCCTGCAGGGTCATACTGAAACACAGGGATGTAGCCAGGATTTGGTGAGTGGTGTAAAAATATATGTGGCGAGCGGAGCGAGGCAAAACAATTTTTGGGAGGGGGGCGTGGTCTTTTATGAAAATTAAACCCTTCTTGGTGTATTTTCAGAGCATCTTCTGCCTTTTGTATTTGGTTCAGTGCAAATCAAATTTCCATTTATATATTCAAATTTTACCAAATTCACTTAATTTTCATCAATGATACAGGGATCTAAAAACTTTTGACACCACCCGACCGAGCATAAAATTGTCCCGCCCCACTCTGTTTCTCTGGATAGATAATAATAATAATAATAATAACAGTTTATTCACAACTACATGTACAAGCATGAGTATGGAAGTTACAATAGATAAGTTGAGGACCTTTCGGTATTTGTTGTTTTGTTGGGTTTTTTTTCAAATATTACTTTATTACTTTGAGATTAAAAATTAAAACGATTCTTAAAACGGTGTTTGTGTTTTATTTGAGTACAACGAATTATGACAACAGGTAGATATTGATAATTAAAACACGTTGTATTATTTGACTTGTTTGTAAAGTTGTTGTACGTGTCTCACGAATATTATTATTATTACGGTGGAATGAGAATCAGGTCAGGCAGAAACTGAGAAAGCTCTCATCGTCCTCCTAGTCCTACTCTCGGGCCGTAGCAAATCCACGGTCAACACAAATAAGAAATAAAATAAGAAACATCCTGAAAATTTGAAGTCACGTATTGGACAATTACGACATTCAAACCTTTAACATTGGAGTGCCGTAAATTGGTCTGGGTGACCTATTTACGGCAATTAACAAATATAAAGACCGTAGAATAATTCTAAGTATAAATAAACAAAATATCAATACATCTTTCTTTAAACTAATTTGGGATGATAGGGTCTACTACGGCACACAAAAATAAATAATGCCGTGACAGACATGGTTTGCGTACGTCGGCTTTTAGTTTTACCATGGCTTTGCCGTTTAATTGCCGTGGTAAATTTTGAGCGCCGAGTTTGTGTACAGAGAAGGACGAAGGGGTTTAAATACGACTGGGCGGCTTTCTTCGATTTTTTCTTTGTGCTGGGCGGCAAAAAATAGTGCCGGGCGCAGTGCGTGGCTACATCTTTATAAAAATGTGCCTGCAAAAAAGGTTTTTTTAAAGCAAATGTGCCTGCGTGCGCATGTGCGCAGAAATATCGATGCCTGTCGTTTGATACGTCCTGCATTAAACTTATTAGGAAAGTAGAGATATCCAATCTTACTAGAAAAATACTGGATTCCCCGAAAAACACTCATTGAGCGTATACAGGATAAAAATGTAAGGGTTCCCCTAATCAACAGCCCAACGATTAGGAACTTCTGCACGCATGATGTCAAAGGTCACAAGCGAACATTGAGCGCTTGATGTACAAGTTGATAAACTTTATGAAGAGTTAGACATACAATACTTTCTGAGATAAAAAAGACGCGGGTAGTGGATAATCCGAGAATTTAATTAGGATTCGGTATTTGTAATAAATAGTAAGCGATTAAAGACAACATCGTCTTATGTATGCAATGAATGCTCCTCTGACTCCCAAGACATGACCTGGTTTGATCAAATTTTAATAGCAGGGCATTCCTTCGCAATTACAATGTTTATGAAGGATTTGAAGCGTAATTATGACAAATTAATTAGTTTGAATATGTTTTTGGTCCATATATACCATTAAATCACCCAGTTTGTACGCGGGAACCCATCTTTAAGGCCCTTGTTTCAGTTTGTAGAACCTTGTTAATCCTCAAACGACAAGTATTATGATCTGATCTGTATGAAATTGTCTTGTAAATGCCCCCAATTACCTACAAAAGAATAAATATGCGTCAACCCTTGTCGGACGATTTAGCTGCTGTGGGCGTATGTTTCGTTGCCTGGCAACCTATCTTTATTTTCTAGGATGTCAAATTGGTAGCCGGAGCTGGTGCTACAGAAATAGAACTTGCTAAACAAATCACAACATTTGGAGAGGTAAGTTGAATTCCTAAAAGGAAACTTGGCTCTGTTCCGTCCATTATTGTCCGCTTTCTATGAAAGAAGGAGAGTATTAAAATGGGTCTGTCATAGGGTTCTTAATCCATTCTGAAAAAAAAAAACGGCCAGAATTGGGTCAAAAGAGGGTAATTAAGCTCCTATTCCATTAAATATAACCATAGAATGTCCTATTCTGAATAGGGTAATGTATATGATTACCACAAAAAGTAACGTACCAGCTAAAGTTCCTGAATAAATGACAGTCTTTGTTGTCCCCCGCCTTTCGAAGAAAGCAGGGGACTATTAAAATGGGTCCGTCTGTCTGTCTGTCCGTCACACTTTTTGGGACACAATAACTCTCCTTCTAATTGACCTAGAATGTTCAAACTTGGTGTAGGTGTTTATTGGGTCAATAATACCTTGATGGAGTTCGAAGATGAGCATTTTCTGCTTAGGGTAAGCAGAGGTAAGCAATTTGATTGGTTGATGCTTTGGGACACGATAACTTTAGTTCTAATTAAGTGAGAGAGATGAAACTTGGTGTATAGTTTCATTACATCAATACCTTTACTAAGACCGACAATGAGCATTTTCTGCTCAGGGTAAGCTGAGCGATAAGCAATTTGATTGGCCGAGACTTTGGAACATAATAACCCTCCTTCTAATTGAGCTAGAATGTTCAAACTTGGTGTAGGTGTTTATTAGGTCAATGCCTTGATGGAGTGTGAAGATAAGCATTTTCTGCCTAGGGTAAGCAAAGATAAGCAATTTGATTGGTTGATGCTTCGGGACACGATAACTTTAGTTCCAATTAAGTGAGAGTGATGAAACTCAGTGTATAGTTTCATTACATCAATACCTTTACTAAGTTCGAGGATGACCATTTTCTGCTCAGGGTAAGCAGAGTGGTAAGCAATTTGATTGGCCGAGACTTTGGAATACAATAACCCTCCTTCTAATTGAGCTAGAATGTTCAAACTTGGTGTAGGTGTTTATTAGGTCAATGCCGTGATGGAGTGCAGAGATAAGCATTTTCTGCTTTGGGTAAGCAGAGATAAGCAATTTGATTGGTTGATGCTTTGGGGCACAATAACTTTAGTTCCAATTAAGTGAGAGTGATGAAACTTGGTATATAGTTTCATTACATCAATATCTTGACTAAGTTCGATGATGAGCATTTTCTGCTCAGGGTAAGCAGAGCGATAAGCAATTTGATTGGCCGAGACTTTGGAACACAATAACTCTCTTTGTAATTAAGCTTGAATGTTCAAACTTGGTGTAGGGGTTTATGAGGTCAATGCCTTGATGGAGTGCGAAAATCAGCATTTTCTGCTTAGGGTAAGCAGAGATAAGCAATTTGATTGGTTGATGCTTTGGAACACGATAACTTTAGTTCTAATTAAGTGAGAGTGATGAAACTTGGTGTATAGTTTCATTACATCAATACCTTGACTAAGTTCGATGATGAGAATTTTCTGCTTAGGCTAACGAGCAATAAGCATTTTGATTGGTCAAGACTTTGGAACATAACAACTCTTCTTCTAATTGAGGTAGAATGTTTAAACTTGAAGTAGATGTTCGTCTTGACTGAGTTCAATGATTAAGATATCGAGCTAAAGCTAAGCAGAGATAAGCAATTTCCTGCTTTGGGACAAGATAACTTTGATTCTATCTGATAGAGAGTGATGAAACTTAGTGTATAGTTGATAATCAGTTTGATTGCTTGATACTTTGGAAAAAAATAGATGTGCAATTAATTAATATATGTCATCTATTTATTTGGGGATTTCAGTGGGGGCCATCAGCCTCACTGTTGGCTTGTTTATTCAATGGATAAAGCGAGACGTTAATGATAAGAATATTCATCAGTCCTGGAAATTAGGATTTTTATATGCCCACATTTTATTCTTATGGTGTATTTATATAGCACATCTTTCATCTAAGTGCTCAGATGCTCTTTACAAACTTAAAAAAGATAAAATACATAAGAATAAAAAAATACATGTAAATAGTCAAAGGCAAAAATAAGAATATATAAAAATTACTGAACCAAAATGGAAATATAAAAACAACAAAGTTAAGAATTTGGATAAAAAGACTGTATCACAGTTAATAAAAGTCTTTGGTAAATAAAAAAAGTCCTGAGTTTTACTTGAAAAGTCGAAAGTGATGCACAGTTTCTTAGGCTAAATGGTAATTTGTTCCACAATTTAGGAGCCTTTATTGTCCCCCGCCTTTCGAAGAAAGCAGGGGACTATTAAAATGGGTTCGTCCATCTGTCTGTCTGTTCGTCAGTCCATCCGTCTGTCTGATGCATAAGGCATCACATGGTGAAAATTTTATGTAAATCTAATAATAATTGCCAATTTTATAGACCAAAAAACTTGAAAATTGACTTGTACAAACCGTCTATTTCTCTGCAACCGTACAAGTTAGAAACCATTTTCTGGTGTCTGTATGATCGTATGGGTTCAATCTATTTGCTGATTGGAATCAAATATCATAATTTTAAAAACATTACAAATCAGACTCATTTGAATAAAACATCTGTTTTGAAAGCTAAAAATACAGTTTTTGCCAAAATGATGTTACTTCCGGTGATAATAAAAATCTTAAATTACTAGTATGAAATCGTAAATGGCATTAAGTATCACACAGTGAAAATTTCATAAAAATTGATTAATAATTGACACTTTTATGGACAAAAAACCTTGAAAAGTGACCTGTTGAAAATTGCCTATTCCTCTGCAACTGAACAAGTTAGATACCATTTTGTGATATCTATCTGATCGTATGGGTTCATTCTTTTAGTTGATTAGAATCAAATATCAAAATCTTAAACCAACACTAAATACCACTCAGTTGAATAAATTATTTGTTTCGAAGGCTATAAATACAGTTTTTGCCCAAATTCCTACATTTCTGGTGACATTGAAAATGTTAAATTGAGTTGAACTAGTCACAATTGACATTATGCATCAAATGGTGTCACTTTTATGAAAATCCAATAATAATTGACTCTTTTACAGGCACAATAGCGTAAAGAGTGACTCGTGCAAAATTGACCATTTCTCGGCAACTGCGCATATTACAAATTAATTTTCACATACATTCTCTCCGTATAGATTATTGCTACGAGTTTATGAAAGTTGCGATGTAATATTTTAAAATATGAAAACTCTGGATGGATTTTACACCTTTTTTCACCTTTTAATCGAAATGACCCAAAAACAAAATCGAAATTAAAAAAAACTGAGCCCGATGTTTTCTGCGCCTTTACAGGGCACACGTTTTCAATCATACCAGATTTGAAAAAAATATTTGCTTTCAAAAAGTGGTACAGAACTGTCAAAATTGTAGTTTTTGCTAAATTTATGTCACTTTCGTTGCCGAAAGGAAAATGTACCGGTAACAAAAAAAAAATGACATTTTGGACCACGGAGCATATGAACTTTGTTTTATACAAATCGAACAATAAATAATTAATCCAGGACTGAAAAACTGAATTAGCCAATGGGGGCCAAGGAAAAATACGGTGACAAAAAATGTTGCCATTTTTGGTCAAATCAGATGACTCTTGAACCCTGGGTAAAATACCACATAAAAATATTCATTAATAAAAAAAATTTTCGTAAAAATTTAAATTTTCAAAATTGGTGCCTAATATCTGTGAAGAATCGTCGAAAATAAAAAATCTAAAAAACCGTAGCTATATGACTTGTCTCTGGCTATGTTAAAATGTATCCAATGTTAAAATCCAACGATTATTGTTAATATTATGGCAATATTTCAAAAATCGACGATTTCTGACATTTCACATTGTCGCAGAACGTTTGAAATAGCTTTAATCTCTAAGTCACACCCACTTTCCCAGTAAAACCAAAGACATCGAATCAATCCGACAAGTAGTTTCTGAGATACAATCAAATTGGAAAAAAAAAATAAGTATAATAATAAGAATAATTTTAACAAAAACAATAGTGTTTCACACAAGCTACGCAGTGTGAAACCCTAATAAGTTGCATTCTGAAAGAATAAGATTAACAATCATAAGCCAATGAATCTCTTTCAGAAAAAGGTAAACACTGATAATAATCTCAACGATTGAAGGGAGATAACTCTTGTTCAACTAATGACTCATCATAAATATTCAGCGCTGATTTTAGGTTTTATGATATACATCTAAATCTTAATAACTAACTTGCTTATTAGACTATCAAAATCGACAAGAATACATAGTATATGAACTAACACTAATATCACAAAGCTGATACATAGCATAACATTTAAACGTTGATTTGTATGAATTTATGGTGACTCTTAAACATTGAATAATACCTCGTCAGCTCACTCACTTTCCATAACAAAAAAGTGACAGATAATTGACAAAATAAATAATTTATACTATAATATGATTCACTATAGTCATCAAGAGGAATTGGATGGGCGACTTAGCAGAAATGATGGCGGCAAAACACAGTGTAATAGTCATGCGCTTACAAAACCCGCGGAAAAATTTAGTGACATCTCATTAAAGGGACAATCCTGCAACTGAGGACAATAACAAAACTAACACTGAACTATAAAATATATTAAACTAATCAAATATTCACAACAGTTTTTACTGGTTACTTCTTGATTATTACACATAGTGTTGCATAATTTTCGTAAACAAGGTTGACATCCGTATGAAATTTTGTCCTTAATATGTGAGCTGCTCCCACAAAACCAGTATCTTGGTCATTTTTATGAAAAATGAGTTAATAGCATATTTGCATAGTCTACAGTCTGAGCTTTCCAAAAATGTAACTCTTTTTAAATTAGGACCAGGGATAAGAATTTTATGATATTTTGAAGTTTGTGGGTGTTTCGAAAGGGAAAAACGTCAAAATGAGAAAACGGACTTCAAAGTATTGGGAGATTTTCAGAAGAAATTTCACTCAATAATCCTTAGCAACCTTCAATTTAGATATCTAAACCCATGATTTTCTGATAGT